AAAAATTGTTCGGAATTTAGATAGAGGATAAATTCTATTTTAAGATGAAAGGACGATAAATTCTGCTTTTAGAGATGAATAGATAATGATTGAAACTTGCGTTGTTATCTAGTAAAGAAATGCAGTTGAAATTTGAATGTAATCAGAGTTAATAAATGCGAATACATGAAATTGAAATAAATTTCTTACAATAGATAAGCAAAAGAAAAAACAAAAAAATAAAAATAAAATTAAAAATGTTTCTTGCAATTTTTCTCTTTGTTTATCATATACAATAGTGTAGGTCGTTATTGTACTTTTTAAACGTTATTTTTTAGAAAAGAGGCTTTAATAATAAGAGTAAATTTGAAATAAATTTTTAAACTGTTATCTACGCATTATGAAGCGTTTCAAAATGTCGAAAAATTTAATTTTTCTATTTTTTTAAAATAATTTTCATTATTATCTCAAATTTTGCAATCGACAATCTTGGATATTTTGACGTCGCTGATTTTGAATCTGCAATCGGTTTCTATCTCCATGCTACAGTTTTTTTTAAATGACATTTTTAGTCTATTTTCTGTCGAAACGTTGACACCCGTTATATACAATGTTTCAAAACATTATATATAACAGGGGGTTGCATAAATGTTATTAAAAACTTCTAGGAGAGTTTGGGCCTATCATCAGAATTAAAACTACATTGTAACCCATTCCCGCAAAGTCATCAAAGGCCGCTTGGGGTGCTTCGTGTCTTTACACCCCTAGAAGTTTGTTGCAACATTCATGCAATCCTCTATTATATATAAAGTTTTTAAATTCTCATGTTTCGACGAAAAATAGACACAAAAAAAAATAGAAAAAAAAATCTGTAGCTTTAGGAGTAAATCTAATTTCTGATTACAACCCCCACACCCTAATTAGCCAAGATCAGGTATATGTATAAATGCAGCAAAATTTTTACCCAGGGTAATTTTATTTATCTTTATTTTTTTAGCAAAATATTTCTATTAAAAAAATTAATTTGTAAATGATATATTTTCAGTATTTATAATTTTCGTACTTTCGCTCTCTCTCTCTCTTCACTTTTGAATAGGAAATGAAAGCATTGGATGAGACTCATTCGAATCAGTACTCAGCTATCATGGAGAAAGTTCGAAAACAAATGTTTCGCCTACAAAAGAAGAGTTTAATGGAAACTCAGAAAAACGAAATGCTTAATGTTCGGAAACGTTTGAAACAAACTATTTATTGACCTGTAAACGGGATAGTGAATTTGCCTCAGGAATTTTAAAGGGTTTTTCACCAGCAATTAAATTTTTCGATTGGAAATTTAATTGAATAAAATATTGAAAGTAGTTATGCATTTCTTGTCTACTGTTATTTATTATAGATGAAAATTATTTCATTGAGGATGAAAATTTAAAAATGTTGCACGTGAAATGCTTTCTTTTTTTACAACCCATCAGTAAAACATTTATATGAAATAAATAATTTATACATCTTTTTTTTTATCAAAACAATATCAAATTATTTTATTTTTTTCATAAAATATTCCAACTATTTAGGCAATATATTATTAAAGCAATAAAATATCAAATTATAAAGGTCTCTGTTTTTTAATTTAAAAAAAAATTATTGAATTGTCCACAATTCCATAACAGAATTCTTTTTATTCGTCATAAACATATGATTAATTGCTATTCAAGTTTTTATTCCAGCTATCAAAAAATAATAATAATAATAATCAGATAGTGTTTACTTGATTTTAGTGTTAAAACTATAATTTTTAACAAACCATTTGTACCGTGACCAAAATGTGTGCCGTTTACAAAAGACACACTTTAAATACATTAACTAGGTTATAAAATTGGATGCCCACAAATTACATCATCGTAGGTAAATCGTGCCATTTGTTGATCCAGAAGCCTATCAGGTTCGACGCACAAGCGTGATGTCACTTACAGGTATCCAAAGAATGATTTAAATTGCATGGTTAAGCATAATCACTTCACTTCTTCTCGAGTTGTAAATGACAATTGCCTGCAAATGACATCATCGTTGGTAAATTGTGCCATTTGTTGATTCAGAAGCCAATCAGGTTCGACGCACACGCGTGATGTCATTTACAGATATTCAAGGAATGATTTAAATTGCATGGTTAAGCATAATTACTTCACTTCTTCTCGAGCTGTAAATGACAATTGCCTGCAAATGACATCATCGTCGGTAAATTGTGCCATTTGTTGATCCAGAAGCCAATCAGGTGCGACACACACGCGTGATGTCACTTTCAGGTATCCAATGAATAATTTAAATTGCATGGTTAAGCATAATCACTTTACTTCTTCTCGAGTTGCAAGTACCCAATAGGGCACAAAAACTTAGGCGTTCATAGCCTGCTTTGCATAAACATAATATTTTTTTTAGAGACAATTTCAGTTTGGACTCTTGGGACATTTATAAAAATCTTCTATTGAAAGATAATTTTGTTTGAAATATAATTTCGATAATTATTTACATTATTTAATTTTATTATTAAACTGAAATTTAATCTAATAATAAATAAAAATTATTCGAATTTTTTGAATTATATTTACCTTCTCAAACCTGTCTTAAGTAGATCTAAATAAATAACGAAATCAAAATTTTTTACGAAATCTATTAAACAGTTCAACTTAGAAAAATATCTGTGTTAACCTTTTCAGAAAGAGAAAATTTAAAGCTATTAAAGGCTGATGCAATTTTTTTTTTACCTATTGCAATGCAAATAAAAGCATTAGTTATTTAATGGCTCCAGGCTTTTTCTAGCAATATTCTATCTGACAACTTTCAAATAGAGAACCATGGTTGCTCGGGTGATAGAGCCCTCGCCTCCAGCTGAAGTGCCCAGGTTTGAATTCCAGCGATGGCTGGTCGACACAAACTCCGCACCCGCTCGCACTGACCACAGTGTTGACATAAAATATATTCAGTGATAGACCGATCAAGGGTTAGAGTCCCCTTGCTGCCAGAATAACTGAGGGAGGTTTTCGTGGTTTTCCTCTCCTTATAACGCAAATGCGGGTTAGTCCCATCAAAAAGTCCTCTTCGAAGACAAATTTCCACCAATACTTGATCCAGGAGTCTGCTGGATTCGAAATTACAAGGGTACGGAGTTGAGCATTGTCAGTCGTACACCCATAATTGGGCCAGCTGTTCAACGACGGTTACAAAATAAAATATAAAATTTAAAAAAAAATCGTAATTTTAACGATAAAAGAAATGCTTTCAAATCTAAACAGAAGAATTTCTAATATCTTGAATTTTATGCAAATTACTAGAATCGTAGTGCCCGTTCCCATTCTGCCTCCTTCCGATACATAAAAAATTATTTTTTCTTAAAGAAATCAGAACCGAAATTCGGAAGAGTTTATGTTCAAGGTATGGTTTTGATTTAATTTATATACGTATTTAAAACTGAGAAGCTGTGGTTAACTCCCTACTTAAATTCGAATCCCTCTGTTCTAATTTCGAAGCTAAATCGGCATTAAGTTTTCAGACAAATTCTTATTTGTGAAAGATTATTGAGAAAGTGACTTTTTTTGTGTTACACGAAGAGCAATAATACGAAATTCTCCAGAAACAGAAATACTACAGTTCTGTAGTTCCCAATTTTTTTCGGCAACGGAACCCTAAATAATCAACCACCTTTCGTTGGAACCCCGACTTTATAAAGTTTATTAAGGTAAATGAGAACATTATAACCTATAAAAAAAATTACATTTAAATTATTTAATTAGAGGAATGAATAATTTCCATCGTTTCATCATTGATAATCTTAAATTAGGTTTCATTTCCGACAGTTAAATTTCTAGTCTAGTCTAGTTATGAGTTTGTTTTTAGTGAATATACATAAGCTGAAAATAAATGTAATAAGCCGAATTGAGGTTTACTTCGAGATGAAAACGGCTGCTGAAAATGGTTATTAGGGGAAACATATTTCTGTATTAAGGAATTATTTTATTTTGATTTGAAAAACGCGATAAGAAATACTAATGCAATATTTCACAAATGCTTGTTCTTTCCATAATTTGTTCAATATATTGTTATTTTTTCAATACATTGTTATTATCTTTTTAAAAGAAAATATAACAAATAAGAAATAGTATATTTTCTTTTAAAAGGGCCATTTCCATTTCATTGGCATTTTACTAGAATTATTTTCATAAATGCAAACGAAAGATTAAATAAATCCTGCAATATAGATTGCATATAAATATAATCAGAGGATTCAAAACTCATCTATAGTTTTAAAAAGTACTAGGTCGCGGAGCCCCCTTCACTCTTCCACGGAACCCTAGGGTTCCAAGAAACACCATTTGGGAATCACTACTATAGTTCATGATATGCCTACCACTGGAATTAATATCAATTTAAAGTACTGTTTTATGAGTGGAATAGAATAGAAATTTATTTGCAAGAGATCAAGGTACTCTGATTTATTAGGGTTTTATTTTTTTTTTCAGCCTCTTAGTTTACTTTCTTAAAACTGTGTAATCTGTAACGATTATTAATTTCGCAAACTATTTTATAACAGATGCAAATACTCATAATAGATAGAAATTTCAAAAATAAATAATTTATAATAGAACATTATTAATAAAATAATTTATAATAAAAATATTTTATCTTTAGTGATTAATTAAAATATAATACTTTCTAAGGCCTTTATAGAACAGTAGAAAATATAAAATTTACTTATTAATTATACTAATTAAAATACTTCTTAATACAACTTAATAAAAAATTAATTAATTAATTATTCAATGAAAGATATAAAATTTACGCATTAATGGGATTAATAAGAAATTAGAAAAGTTAAAAAGATTGAGAAAAAATATTTTAGTTCAAATTGTATTGAGACTCTCTTTGAAATGATAAGACTAAAGACATTTCCTAACGAATAACTTTTTTTGTTTTATCTGATAAAACTTCTTTCAAAATTTTTTCTTAAGGCTTGATAAAATAATTATCTTTTATCTGATTGATAAGGATTAAACAAAAGTTGTGAATAATAAGTCACGCGCACGCACGCTTACGAACTTAACGAAGTGATCTGCAAAAAACGTGGAACCTCGTTTTAATGTGTGTAGTGCTGTAAGGGGCTAAAAATTAATTGTTGGTGATGGAAATTTTGAAAGAATTAAGAAATGGGATACCTCTGGAACCGTTGCCTCCTTCAGAACCTCGTAATTCACAAATGCCTCATGCTCCTGTTCGTAATACTCATTTAACTTTCCAAGAAGAGCAGGTAAGTTAATATTATGCCATTCCTTTAACTAAAGTAGCATTTTTTGTTAGAATAAGTAGCATGACAAATTGCTGAAAACAATCCTGCCATATATTTTTTTGTTTTATTTGAAACATTTTAAGGCGCAATGTAAAATTTCAAACTATTAAAAAAATTTGAAATTCCGGGCAAAAGTTACTGTTACAATGGGATACCTGCAAGTGACGTAGTATGGATGCCTCGATCATGATTGGTTGTTGAAACGTGGCATTTGCTTACGTTAGCAACTGTTCTTTCCATTCTATTTCGAGTAAGTTAAGCCAGTCAAATATCAATTTTCTTAAGTGACACATTCTCTATTCTTCATAAAGTAAACTCTTTTATATTATTTCACTATATGTTTCTTACTTAACACAAAGACAGGCGCGAAGCTATATAGAACATAAACAAACTAAGTATGCATCGAAGTTGCCAGGTACACAAAGCAAAAAAATATCACGGTTACAATAAGATACGTAAACAAATAATGAATCTAAGTTAAGACATAGACGTGAAGAAAAATTATATTTCATAGAATTTGATGTACAATAAGGCACAGCAATTAATTAATTTCACGTTAATTAACATTCTAACTAATGTGAAGAAACTTAGCTGAACTTTTACTCTATATTTTGATTATAGGCGATCAGCAGGTGCTGACGTCATAATTCACACGTGTGGTTATCCGTGATCTTCCTCTTGCCGTGCCAGTAAGCAATTGTAATTATTATTAAACTATCTGGCTTTTTCTTTGTACAAGTGCAAACTTTAACTCACTTTTGATTTAATGATCGGATTATGAAGTACAATTTGAATGGTTGGGCGATTATTATGCAATAATTGTTAGAGATGATACGAATGAAAAAAATAAATAAATACATATCCTAAATAAACATGGTTTTTCCGGATAGTTTCATAATTCTGACCTTGAAAACACGAGGAGTAGCCGCTCTCTGGAATAGATGGTTTTATCGGCTTTGTAATAAATTTTCGAATTTAAGAGCTATTCGACCGATTTCCTTCGAATTCTTTATTTCGTTATTTAAAGCTACAGAGTTTCCTGTTATAAGGAGGTTTTAAGATTCAAGAACCTTGAGATTTATTATTTTTCGTTCATTATAAAAATTAATAATAAAAAATAAATTATCATTAAAAACTAGATTTTGCATAAAATTATCTTCAGATAAACAAAGTTTACGATTGATTGCGTGCTAAAAAAATTTTTATTCGCTTAGATTATTCCATAGATATAGTGTGATATGCAAAAAGTAAAATTAACAAATAAGAAGCCAAACTTTCCCCAGCTGATTAAAGATAGAGAGCATTTTTTTTCAATATTTCGTAACTTAAAATTTCATCTACACTAATTTCATAACATAAATTCAAAGCATTAAATTGTTAAATTTTCAACCCATTTAGGATTACAAGAATCATGAAGAGAAAATGACAAATGTAATTTACGAAAATGCGTTATTATTTTGTGAAAAACTCTTAAAATAATTAGCCTTAAAATCATAAGTAAATGGAATGCCGGTCAATGGCTCTTTACCTTAAATTAAACTTCAGTGCAGGGAATAGCGGAACAATGTAAATCTGGCACAAAGACACATATATCCTCACCTTGACATAATTCCGATGAATTCGAATACCATTAATAAAAACCACATCACAAAGAACTCGTATTTAATATTCTATACACCCCTATACTGAATTTTTTTAAAAAAAAATTAAGTACTATCGCTCTGTATTCTTTTCACTGATGTTTTTGTAAGATTAAGTACCATTGCCCGGTATCACCATCACTGAAACCGGTTAAGAGGGAATTTGAATTTCTTAAAAAAATTGATTTACTGAAAAGTAAATATTTTTTTAATTATCAATTTAGAAAATTTTTTTTTAAAGAAAAGAATGCACTCATTGACATATTATGGTAATCTTAAAACTCAACTATATTTATCAAATCTACAAAAAAGAAAATTTTTGCTTCTTAAAAAAAATTTCGTTTTGTGAAAAAATTGAATAATTGAATAACGAAATTTTTTTGTTTGTTTGTTTGTCAATTTTTTTTATACCTGCTACTTGAGAAGACCGCTGAATGATGGTATGTTAACGTTACAGCTATAAAACTTGGTTTATTATCACGCTGAATCAATTATCGGTCAGATTTAATTGGATGTGAGTACCATTGGTAATAGTTTAAGATATAGGGCTATTGCTCGGTACTCCAAAAGCTTATGATTTTAAGGCTAATTCAGAGTGATCATAATTAACAAATAATTAGCTTTAAAATCATAAGTGAATGGAATAATTCATCACGATTATAACTAATAAATAATTAGCCTTAAAATCATGAGTGAATGGAATACCGGGCAATGGCCCTTTACCTTAAAAAAACTCCAGTGTAGGGAATACCGGATCAATGTAAATCGGGAAAGCGACGTCACGTGTAATTTGATTGGCTGCTGAATCGTAGCTAGTATCTAATTAAGTAAAATGTTTTCAGAAGAAACAAAAACGTGTTCATATAAGCATATTAATAGTCTGACCATCCATTTCGGAGCTTTATGCTTCATAAATGCGCTATAAGCTTATTATGTTAATTTCAAAGCTCAACCACTTAAAACAAGTCAAACCAACAAAATTTTTTACCCTCAAGCCTGAAATGGGGTAATTTTCCACAACTGCTTTAAATGGGAATGCCCCAAACGATATTAAGCCATGTAAAACATAGCATAATTGTAGGAAATTTATATAAATCAAAGGCTTCATAGTATGCGTATGTTTCATATTTTTAAAACTTCATTTTAGAAAGGGAATTGCCATTCAAAGTTAGATAAAACATTTAAAGTTAGACTAAAATATATTAATATCCATATATATTAATATGAGCAAGCGAATCTTTTTAAGTTTTAATAAAACAGATTATTATAGATTCCATGTTACTATTTCGAACCTTTAATTTAAAATAAATATAAATCTTATATTGGAAGTAACTAAATGATTCTTTCGAAAAGTGCAATTAATAACTTCAGCGACTTTTTTGCAAGCTGATAAAATTCATAATACTCGTTATAATGTTCAGATTTTTTTGTGATTGCAGAGCATGTTTATTTCTGACGATGAGAGTTAAACGATAATTGTACATCAGATTCTCTCATCAGATAAAAATATTGACATTTTTCTAAATATTTACATCAAAAACATTTCTGTTCATCATTTTCATACATTAAAAAAATTACGAACATATAATAGGAGTGTATGTAACGAATGAGAAGTTGCTGCTTTTTCCCTCTTATTCAAACTCTTATTTCTTTTTTTAACTTCATTATTTGTTTCTAGCCACTAGGTGTGAAAAGGATACCTACTGGGGTGGGGATAGCCTGGTTGGTAGGGAGCTGGATTCTTGCTCGTAAGAATGGGAGTTCGAATCCAGCCAGCCGAAAACTCCCCGTGTAGTAAATGGTGACTGATGCGCGTTAAATCTGCCCGGTCACAAAGTCCTCCACGTTACCATAACAAATTATAGTACTGGATGGGAGATTATTCGTTTTCTAGTTCAGACCAAAGTCACGATCTGTGGATGAGTGGATGTATGAATGGGTAAGCTCTATAAACAGGTGTGGCGTATGGGTGTGGCAGAAGTCGAATTCTTGGTCATAGATGACGCCACTGGAAAGCAAGAATAATCGCAACCCCATTGCCGTAAAGGCCGACGTCAACAGCATACCGACTCAAAATGTTGTAAGTCTAGTGATTATCAAACCACAAAACTGGGGAATTCGAAAACCATGGAAATGGCAAAATATCTTATTATTAATATTATTTTTAAAAAAATGAGGTAAATACTTTTAAGAAATGCATGAAATGATACCTAACTAGGTCGAGTTTGGTGTCATAAGATTGGTTTTTCACAGCCTTGCTTTATTTTTTCGAACTGAAATACGTTTTTTGAGATAATTCTATTTTAAACAATCTATACCTTATTTTTATTTTGAGATTATAGTTTCATCTATGACTTAACTCGCAAAAATTTCCGTTGATGGTATACTTTTTACTGGAGAATCCAAATATTCATTTAAAATTCGGATTCTTATTGAGGAGTTTGAAGTTAGCCCCGCCTCACTCTAATTTTTCCGTCAAATTTTGAAACTAGTAAGGTCATTTTTTCTGAATTTGATCTACTCGGATAAATCATTCTTGATTCGAATATGAAGCTATTTCACAGGATGTAAGATGCTCTAACGTCACCTACTAATGACAATGTGAGGAATGTGAGAAATGCATATTCTGGTTAAAATTAGACATTTAAAATCAGCAGATGAAACACTTTTATATTGCTTTTTTTATTCATTTTTTTTCCTTTTAATTTCATTTTAACATGACAACTGCTGTTTTTTTTCTTCATAATTTTGGTTTTAGCATTCGTTGATTTTTTTTCGTGACGGAAACATTGATGTTCATAACGGAATAAATTAGTCCCAGTTAAAAGCTTAAAATGACAAAAATACTTTAAACTAACCAAAAAACAGTTTAAACTTTGAAAATAACAAAAGCGAGTTATTTCCCAAAAATTTTTGTATGACTACAAAAAAGAAAATGAAAATAACTTCAAAAAAGTGTAAATTACATTAAAAAATTTAAAGCTCCAAAATGCTAATGCTTTTCTACGAATTTTTACCTATTATATATTGATTATGTTTTTTTTGTAAACTTTATTTCCATTTCACACAAAATAATTGCAAATATAATCATATGTTCACAAATTTCATAAAAACACTTTAATGTGTTTTACCAATTAATAAAGATTAAAAATTCAAATTTGTAATATTGTCTATAACGTAATGCTTAGTTTGGAACGACTTACAACCCATAATAATTATTTAACATGTTACTTGTAGTATGTATTCGTAAAGGAGAGGAGGTGGAGGTCATAAATATTGGGGAAAATGTGATATCATTTAAGAACAACTCTAAGTCATTAAATCTAGTTAAAATTTGGGGGGAATTATAACTTCATATTTTTTATGAAATTTACTGAAAAAAAAAAAAGAAAACGCTTTAACAAAAAAACTAAAGGGAAGAAACAAAAAGAAAGAGAGCCTTAAACCATAAAAAATAGGCTTGCATAGTTTTTAAGCTGCCTCTTAGCAGGGACCTATCAGGACGAATTCAGGCCCCAAGGCCCACCAAATTTTCCGGGCCCCTCACAAGATATTTCGTAATTAAATTACGGAAGAGTAGTCCTAACAATGAAAAAGAGTCTATTGAACTGCATGATTCAAGAGAAACATTCTAAGAAATTTTGAAAACAGACAATTGAAGATTATATTTCTAAGATAAAGTTTACGTATCTATAAATTAAAGCAAAATATAAAACAGCAAAACAATGTTATATCAAAATAAAAATAGTTTGGTGGCCGCAAATAATTGAAATCAGTGATTTTTGCTAAAAGTCACTGATTTTTATTTAATACTGTTTGTTGCAACACTGTTTTTTATTTAATACTAAAACCAGCACAAAGCTAGCCCACCTTTCTTTAGACTTTTTATTAATTTTTGAGGCCCCTCAGAAATTGTGGGCCCTAGGCCCATGCCTATTGGGCCTAGGCTATAATCAGGCCCTGAGAGACACGTTTGGGGGCAATGTTGCGTAAAGAAATACAGCTAAGAAAGAGAGATAAATGTTTTCCCTATTACTAATATTTATTTTCTCTTTATAGCTAGCATTGAAAAATAGTCTTAGGTATTTTCCAAGTTACTTACATCAAACATTGTCACCTGAGTTTGCAAAAGAGCTGAGAGAATATGGGCACATTTATATGTATAGATTTCGACCGACGTTTGAAATGCGGTGAGTTAATTGCTTACTTACAATCTTTACGGCCAAATTTTTTGAACCAATCAAAATAAAAAAAATTATCTTTGTTTAATTAAATTACAAAAGCTTGTATTTGAGCTCAATGCACGAGTTAATAAATAAATAAATAATGAAATTAAATATTATAAAATAAGTTTTCTCCCCAGCGTTCAGAATTTCATGGCACTAGAGTGCATTCTAAATGGCTTGAGTTGTACACTTAATATATGTTATATGATTAATGTTAATAGTTAGATGAGCTAAGAAAACTGACAAACATTGTCAGCACTTTTGGATATATGAATACAAGAAGTTTTTAATGTGAAACATTGGTAAACCTCAAAAAAGTAGTTATCAAATTTAAAATTAAATGTATTGTTTCAGTTACCACATCAGCTTTAAATCGTCATTTATCAAGACTTTTATGTGTACAGGCTCAAAAATTATACTGTCATTATGCACAGGGAATTTAAAAATTTCGATTGGGCATTTATGTATTTAAATCAGAAATACTGTGAAACCATCTAAGCGCTCCCTCAAATTTTGTGATGGGGTATATATAGATGATAGTAAAAGGAGAGAAAAAGAGAAATTTTTATTTTTATTTTTTTGATGTGACTTAAATGCATCTGAATTTAATTATGTAAACAGGACTTTACTAAGCAAAATTAGGTTGTGTTTTTACTCCCCTCGGCCTGCTTACTTAAAAAAACACTCGAATCACTGGCCATAAAATAATTCATAAATATGGCAGTTGAAATTAAAGTTGAAACAGTTACCGTCAGTCACAGTTGCACATTGATTGCTTTGCTAGAAAAAAAGTAGGCATGTTAATGGGCATGCACTTTCCAATAAAACTTTTTGTTAATGATAGAGCTCTTCATTTACTACCTGAATGCTTAATCGGGCAAATGAATCAATCCATCAATACTTATTCAGGTTTAGTACTTCTATATCAGTAATATTTAATGCTTTCTTAATACTCTTGATTTATACTTAATTTTTGATTTGAATATTAGGTTGTTAATATCTTTTTTTCAGTATAGTAATAATAAGAGCATTCATTATTATGCTCATTAAAATCCCCCCCCCAAATAAGCATTTCCTTCGGGCATGTACTCTGCAGTACACACCAAGATTGGCATGCTAAAAGTTTGAGATTTGTAGAGTCCAGACCATGGCTAGACTTATGGCACAAATTTTTTCTGAATCTTCACTTCTCTCAAAAACTCAGTAAATTTAAAATAAATTTAGTACCAATTAATTTTTACGATGATTTCAAAATATCAGAATGTTTGTTTGTTAATTAATTAACCAGAAACTTTCTATGTATTTGAATTCAGTATTTCGTTAACCGACACTATTGCAGTTTTCTGCTATTATGAATCCTCATTTCAAACTGAATCGGTTAAACGAAACTTAAATATCTATATTTTAATACACACAATTTAAATAATCTAAATAAATAATATAATATAAGTAATTTAAATAAAACTAATAATCTTTTCTATTTATTTATTACCTGTAGAGCCTATTGCATATCAGATTATCCAGCGCAGAGTAATGAAGGAGCTGCTATAATGCTTATGATAATGAATAATCTGGATCCTCGAGTTGCTCAGTTTCCGGAAGAGCTGATAACATACGGCGGGAATGGTCAAGTGTTCTCAAACTGGGCGCAGGTAAGTACCAAAAGGGCCAGAGGAGAGCCCGTAAACTTTATTTGATGACTGCTGGCATTTGAAGAGACTTTCGACGTTGGAAAGGGTTTAAAATTTATTTTTTAGATTAAATTTGTGGAATTTTTTTAGCGATACCTCTCATAAGAGTCTGGTTAAAAAACAGTCAAGAGTTAATACATATTTTCGTAGAGATAATGATTTCTTAGAAATACCTATCATAAAAATTGGTTAAAAAGTGTTAAAAGTTAATACATATTTTCATAGAGATAATGATTTCTTAGAAATATCTATCATAAAAGTTGGTTAAAAAGTGTTAAAAGTTAATACATATTTTCGTAGAGATAATGATTTCTTAGAAATACCTATCATAAAAGTTGGTTAAAAAGAGTCAACAGTTAATATATATTTTTCGTAGAGATGATAATTTTTTGGAGATACCTATCATAAAAGTTGGTTAAAAAGAGTACAAAATTAATGTATATTTTCTTGAAAAAATGGCTTTACATATAGTAATAACAAATAAAAAATAAATTTTCCACCCCGAAGTTATGATGTTTCTGATATTAATAGTTTCTACTCTAGTCAATTTTTAATTTGGTACCAAACGCTTTGCTCCCAAAAAGAAATCTTCCTTAAAAAAAAAAAAGTAAAAATTCGTGTTTAGTTTTGTGAAAAAGTGGTCTTATGTGTCACGAAATGAAGACATGAGAGGTTTATTTAAAAATTTGCATCTTGGAATTAAAAATTTTTTTAATGTAAATATTTTTTTATTCATGCCGATCGTGAATTTGGTAACACACTTCTAAATTCTAGCACGTATATCTTTTTTAATTTTTTTTTTTTTTTTGGTGTGGAAAAAGCTTTACTTGCAATGATAAAATGGACACAGAACACAGAAAAGGTTAATATATAAAATTTGCTTCATCGATCTTTTTATTTTTTTTACATAAATATTTTCTTCTCGCGTGGATCTTAAATTTGATTCAAAGCTCTTGGGCTACGAAATGTAAAACGTTCTGAAAAGGAAAATCAAAATAAATGCTTATTTCTGTGAATAAGCGGACTAACATGTGAAAGCGTCCTGAACAGAGAAGAGATTTATTTGGAAAATTTGCAGCTCGGAACTTTTATTCATTGAAAAAAATATATTCTACACCAGGGGTGGCGAACCATTATACACCAACGTGCCATTTTTTCTAAAAAACTGTTTAATGATGTCATAGACGTGCCGTCAAGTAATTTTGACTTCGTGATTATTGGGAAAATAATAATACTAAATACTATCAACTGCAAACTATTTACATTGAAAAAAAAATACATTTTGCAATGTCTCAGTTATAGGCGTAATTCAACTTAAAGTAACATCAGTGTGACTTCTGTTGCTGCAGATTAGATGACAAATAACTTATATTAGGTTGTAAGATGTTAGTTTCAGCAAGACTGTTAATTTTTTTTGCTAGTTACTTATTGTTAACTTGTTTTTTATGGTTAATTGTTTTTTAGCATTAATTGTTAATTTTTTATTAATAGTTGTTTATTATTTTGTTTGTTTTGTGATTTTTAATTTAATTGTTACATATGCTTCAAATTGTAATAACATTTGTGTAATAACAATTCATAGTGCAATAACAATAGCGATCGGTGGGGTGCCCAAAATATTGTGTCACGTGCCATAAATGGCACGCGTGCCATTGGTTCGCCATCCCTGTTCCACACGATTCAATCTAAATTGGTACTATAGTCTTTGCTTCCTATATGTAAAACATTCTAATAATTATATTATTTTCTTATTTTTTTATTTTATTTAATAATAATCTAAAAAATTTTGAATTGTAAGGTATTCAATTTTTTACATCATTCCGAAAATTGTAATTTCCTATGGCAAAATACAAAGTTTAAACAAAATCGGATAAATAGTTCCTGAGAAATCGAATTTTAAATATATGACTTTTTTGTATCTTATTTCGTAACTTAAAATATCGTTTGCAATAACTAATTAGAATATTTGAGGTCACCTTCCGAACCATTAAGATTGAGTCATAGAACATGAAGATCTGATCATTAAATCAAAAATTATTCAAGGTGGTCCGCTTTTTTTGTGTGTTTTTACTGTTATTTGAATTAAATCCTAATATCTTAAAAGTAGTGTTCTGGCTTTCAAATTCCTTCAATAATCTCTAAAGTAGATTGTTATTTGAATACTGCTTAAATCTTTTTAACCCCTTCCTTTTTGCTCCCGTGAAAATGACGGGATGAGGTTTCGCCCTCTATTTCTGGTTCCCGTGATATTGACGGGCAGGAGTGTTCAGTAGTAACGCGCCAATAAGAGTAAAACTAATTCATTTCTTTTGCCCGGAAAACATTTTATTTCTCATTTCACACACCAGATGGCAGTAGCAGAATATTTTTAAGGTAATTGTACATAGTTAGTTTATTTTAAACTAGATGTCAGCACTAATCAAATACATAATACAAATATAAAAGCAAAAAAAATAGGCACTTTTATGACCGTTTTTTTGAAAATTAGCCGATCTTCAAGGGGTTAAGCAATTGAAAATTTAAAAAAAAAAAAATTAAAATTCTGCTAATTTATTTTCTATTTATTTATATTATTTGTGAATTTTCCTTTGCAGTTTTGGTTGGTGATGAAATACCTGAGCAAACTCACTACAAATCAGACACTTGTAATGATGTCTGGACATCCTTTAGGACTCTTCCCATCCAGTGAGTTTGGACCAAGGATGGTGATTACTAATGGCATGATGGTACCCAATTACTCAACAAGAACCAATTATGATCGTTTATTTGCTTTGGGAACGACTATGTGAGTCATTAACATTTTCAATTTTTTTTTGTTAATTTTATTTATTTAATCATATTTTTTCAAACTAACTTTACATTAAAGGAAATTTATTTACGAATTAAAATGCATTTTTTAAAAATAATTTCTACTTTTTTAAAATATTTCTCTGGTAGCCGATGTTTGTAGAAAACACTCATATACGGACTCAGTGCTTGTTATTAGGTTTCGAAAATTTCTCTTAAAATCAATTAAACCCTTAATTGATCGATTTACGCTATTAAAGTGGCATGGCTCTTGTACTTACTGAGTTCAATGCTGCATATATGATGGCAAAAATCTATTTTTGTTACTTATATCACTCTTATTGTTGTCATATTATCTGTCAATTCAATTCAAGTCAATTCTGTCAAGTCAATTCTGATTATATATCAATTCAATTACTATAATTAATGACACTTATAATTATAACCAATATTATAGTTAATTATTAATATTGTAATTAATTATTACAATTATAACCAATGGGAAGAAATTTAGTAATTCTTCCGGACTTTAAAGGGTTAACAAATCTCTCTTGTTTATTGAAAAACAAGGGAGAGGAATGTTTGACTAAACCGAGCCTTTAATTTTTTTTCCTCATAAGAGCAACTAGTGAAAAAAATCGCTTAAATTTTTATTTGAATGGTTAATTAGCCCTTTAGTTTCAAAAATAAGCACAAATGCAAAAAAAAAGACATACTGAGAATCAGAATTAGCTATTTTTTGGAAATATGCTAACGTCCGGTTTTATACGTCCTTGTCGGAAAAAAACGGGTATGGGAAAGTGGGATTGTTAAAATTCGAAGGCCTGTTGGAGCTTAACTGTTCAATCTAAACACTGTCACATTTAATAAAGATAATCATTATTTAGTTGTTGTACACAATATATCATTCCTGAAAAGTCAATGAGGAACTACTTTCTTTTTTATAAATGATTTTTTTTCTGGAAAAAGTCAAATCACATAGGCTTACCTAACTAGTGGGATAAACCCGGGTACTTAACTCTGTAGGAAATTTAGAAATACTAAAATTTAAGGAAAACGTAGCAGATAATTCTATTTTATATGACAATTCAAGAAAATTACGCATGCAATTTGCATGTGAGGCTGTCAAGGCTGAACTCAAGGAGGGGAGGGGGGATAATTGTTCGTGAGCCCGGATTGCTGAGAGCCCGATCAAAATTTCTGTCTAACAATAAAATGTTTTTTTTAATTTTTTTTTTAAAGAAGTTTTAAGTGAGTTTCTTTAATTTATGTAAAAACTACAATTTTGTATAAAGGGTCATCATAAATTCGACTAAATATGAAAACTAGACTTTGTTTGTCTTGCCCACATTGTCCTTAGGTTCTTAAAACCTTATTTTAGTTCATAATTTTTAGTTTAAATTATTTTTAGACCTTAAATTTTGTCCTTGAGTCCATGAAACATTGGCTCTACCTTGGGTGTAGTTATTTTCTTCCATTGATGCATTGCAGCTTTTATGGGCCCAACATAAACTCACAAGGGGGGCGTGGCAAAACTGAGTAGTACCCAGTCTTACTCTTAGTACAGAGGCTATTAGAAGCGCAACGTGACAGTAATATTATTGTACTAAATTCTTCATCTTTAATTACATTTTGATCCAATTAATAATCGGTTATTAATTTAATATTTCTGTTGGCTGTGTGAAATTATTTAAAGTAAAACGTCAACAAAAAACAGAAGGCAATTTTTTTTCAAACAAATGTAATTTTTCTAATAGATTGATTAAATTACGGAAAAATTATAAAATATTGCATCAGTATTTCCCCCACAGTTTTTCAAATCAAAACGAAGCAACTGAATTCGTGAACAAAGAATCACATTACATTATATATATA